GATTTATGGACAAAGAAGACGAAAATGTTACCCGTTGCAGTGCAACGGGTAACATTTTCGTCTTCTTTACCCGTTGCAGTGCAACGGGTAAGTTTCATTCAAGATGTCGTGCGCTACGTGTGATCGGTATTATTGCAAAAAATCGGTTTTCCGATGCCGACCGCCAAAAATGGATTTCAGATTCGTAATCTACACCCCAAAAAACATATAATTAAAAAAAAACACCCTTTTTTTTGGATGTAGTTAATCTGCAATAATACCCATTTCATTATTTCAACCATCAATGAACGCATGGAACTAACACAAAGCTTAATATAAAGGAAAAGCTGGAGAGGTGACGGAATTACCTACGATGTTGGAATATACCGCGTTTACCCAACTTATTTCCACCAAAATTTTAATGCTTCTTCTAACTTGAAAATGAATGTGTGTTGCATTCGAAACGTCATTAATAAAGAAAAACTACTTCCTGAAACTTGCCTTTTTATCTACCATCATCTGAAGAAGGGTTCCACTCCCTGATAGTGTAAACCAACGAGTTCTCTGGTCATCAATCGCACGTGTGTAGTGTAAACAAGTAAATCCTGCCATCTAATAATAATTTATCGTTTTATCCATGATACTTAGCTGGTCTACTTACTTGAAGAGAGTTTAAAAAACTCTATGCTATTCTGCTTTGCCGCGATTTTTTCACGATATATATTATATAATGCTATATACCCTACTGTAACCTACACGTTTGAAGTTTCACCTCCAGGAACCACTAATTTTAAATGATGTTTTTTGCTTACGTCTTATTCTGTTTGTTCTCCTGAATTCTGTTTTATTCCACAAGCTGGTATAATACCGGAAGGACCATAAACCTTTTGATGGGGCTGACCCCCAACACCATAAATTTTATAGGCCAGCAGTAACTCACCATATTCAAGGAAGAAGTTAGGATTTCGCCGATCCAATTTCTACCACCTACACTACCCGACAGGTAACATAAGACTGACAGCAATGTTCGTGTTGACACTCTGCTCGCTGCGTGTCGACTGTTAAAATGGTTCTCAGTAGATTTGGACACATTACCCATTTTCATCAACTTTATATATATGAATATTCAGGATAAGTCCTTCAAACATCGCATCAATAACACCACAGTCATAGGTGTAATGAATTCTTTGTTCCAGTTTATTCATATGGTTGTTATACAGTAACAGAGGAACGACCAACTAACTCCATTCATTGGCGTAAGCAATATAGATTTTACTAGATAATTCACAGATTTTGGCTTTGGACACGTTATTCTACACTTTCTACTCACTAAATTGTGAATGAATATTTGTCACATGGCAGTTAGCCGAATCCAGTGCCGCACTTGTACACGGGGATAGTACTAGCGGCTAGTAGATCAGAAAATTGCCAAATGTCTGCCGCTTGGTGTCTATCCCGCAAGTAAACTTAGACACCAAGCGGCAGACATTTGGCAATTTTCTGATCTACTAGCCGCTAGTACTATCCCCGCGTACAAGCAAAAAAAACCATAACCTTGTGTGAACATAATGAACTTGCGTCACACTGAAACAGAAAAACGACATGACTACAATGTAGCATCATGATATTAGTTTAATATTCATGAGGCATTGTAGCATAATTGGGGGCTGTGCGTTCACAGTAACCGCACACCTGGGCTCATCAGTGATTAGAGGTGACTGTATGTTAGCCTGTTAGGTAAGGGTAGTCACTACTTTAGAACCATTATCTGAAGAAAATTTCGCCAAAAATTTAAAACCCAGTAAGTGAGAGCATATTCTATTCAAATTTTACGTTGAATGCAACCGAGATTTTAAATTCAATCCACCCCCGAATAATTCCAGACAATTCGGGTAGATTAGAGTACTCAAAAGATTACCTTACTCAAGCCCTATTAATGAACAGTAATAAAAACCATGATGCAACAATGAACAAAACTATAATTAGTCCAAGCGAGAGGTTACACCGGAACGAGTAGTATGTTGTGCAAGCATGACAGATGCAAGGAGGAAATTAGAATAGCGATAATTGCGTTAAGACGTTTTATTGAAAGTTGACGACCAAGAAGTACCTAATTCCTCTCACATGAATGTTGGTATGAATGTTACTTGGAGCTAACATTACCGCAGCGTGGACAATGTGACTTAAAATGAAATATTCAACAGTAGAATACATATAGATGATAGAAAAATATAGATTCTTTATTTATTAATATTAGTTTGAACAATTATTCAAGATTTCCATTGCCGCTCAAGAACTTGCAGCGACAAGCGTGAAAAGTGGTTCTTTCCGCACTATGCTCTTGTATAGTTTATGTTACCTTCACTACAGCTTTACCGACAGCTTTAAATCCATAAGTTTAAATGTACAGAAAACCGAACTGGTTCCAATGCTGCCATCATTCATACTAGAAACGCGGTTGCTAGCGCGATTGGAATGGTAAAAATTAGTAAATGGAATGTTAATTACACGGTAAATTCGTAATGTACGGCCTCGTGTCCAGCCTTATTGCTAAGAAGGCCTGCATTCATATGCAACCCAGTATTGTACATTTCTGACACGTAAAATTAACACGATCGGGTTGTCTCTTTTCGAGTTTGCATAGCCTAAGTTAATTGTTCATTGATTGACGTTACGGCCTAAGATAGATGTTATCTGAAAAGAAAATGTTAATTTCCTGTGCATTTTGTTGCATCGCATTATGAATGCTTTATCAAGAGGTAAAACACGGAAATATTAGACGCTCTACATAATGCGATGATACTATAGTTGAATATACTCGGCGTTAACCATGTTAAATTCACATAACTATTCAATGGCGTTAAGTTTCAGAGTAGCAACTAGATCTGTAGTTAACCTCACGATACACATACGTGTAAGGCACTCCAGTATACTATAAGAAATTGCGTGGTCAAAGAGATGAAAAAAATTTGGCAATGGCAGAGACCAAAGAGAATTGTAATTTTTGGGAATATAAAATTGCTAGCCTCATAGCATCTGCAGTAATAGTAATACTTTTTAGTCAACTCAGTCATTTATTTCCTAGGAGCCTCTTGCAATTAGTAAGTAAAATCAATGGAATATTTAGGATCAGTTGAAACTTAACTAGAAACCAAAATTAGTTACTTATATAATAAAAAAAAACACGTTTTCTTAACGGACAAAAAAGAAAAACATTTACACTTACATAACATTACATATAATTTTACATAACTTTAATGTTATGTAGGAGTAAATGTTTTTCTCTTATGTCCGTTAAGAAAACGTGGTTTTTAAATGTTTTTTTTTTTTCATTTGTTTCACTTCTTTATTTTTAGTTTTGGAAAAACCAGAAAAACGTGGTTTTCAAAAATGGGATAATATTTCTTTATTTGCTACTTTTTAGTTTAGCAATTTTAGCAATTCAAATCAATTTCCAGGGTTGGCAAGTCTGGATATTCGAAAAATAACCCGATTCCCAAACGTGAATTTTTATTAATTATTAGTTATGATGATCAAATCTTGAATTGTTAGGCAGCATAAGCATGAATGCCAAAAAAAATCGTGTTCAAGTATGGCAGGGTATAAACAAATTATAAAAGCGACTGACGGTATGCTCTAAACATACCCACTGAAATCAGATCAACTTTCAGTGCCAGTAGCTCATTACATATTACTAATAAAATGAGCACCAGTAGCCGAAACCATACTCTGATTCCTGGAACTACAAACATCACAGCCAAGTTGAGGTGAGCTAAGGCGACCTGAGGAACGGACGGCAGAGATGAGCTACAACGTAACCGTTGTAGTGTAAGGCGTTCACGACGGCGCGACTAACGAGCTTAAAGGTAAGCTCATACAACCGTATATCTAAAATTAAAGCTACACGATGTTACCAAACTAAAATTAAGCTTAAATTAAAATTAAGCTAAACGATGTTGTTACTTAAAACAAAAAGATAGCAGCTGCTTACTAAGGTCGACATCCAAGTTCAGACACAACAGTATCAAGTCGAGCCTTTTTTCTCAGCAGTCGACACAACTAATTTTGAGAGCTAGAAATCGTAGTACAAGACTTGGGAGATACGAGCGGGGCAGTTGCCGTTCTATTTAAATAATTAAAATTTTACTACCAAAACTGGTTCTGATGAAAACTTCAGTACCATTTTTCCGTTAAGGAGATACGGTAATAAAAATAATAGTTACTAGGAGTAACTCATGGGCGAGCTATCTTTGATCAAATATTAAAAAGCGAGAGGAGACTGATTTTTTTTCAACAGTAATTCAAATGATCACTATTGGAAACAACATGTAAACAAAATGAAGCCACTTAAGAACTAGCAACAGTTTACAAGCGCTTCACACGCTCAAGATAAGCCGAGTACGCTAGCTGCTGATAGTTGGCAGCAGCAGCGGCAGGGTCAGAAGAAGTGGTCACTCCGCGACCCACGATGATGACGTCAGCGCCACGCTCCCCAACAGAACATTCGGGGCTCACGTAGCGCTGGCCTAGCGCGTCCCCTGACGCACTCACGCTCACGCCGGGGCTCAGCTGCAGCAGCCTAATAACAAAAATACCATCAGCCGCGGCACATCAAAGACATACATTATTGACAAGCATGCTTTGGTAAAGAACTTAACGAGTAGCACTAACACCATTACACGATCAAACAGCTGCCTGAAAAATGATGGCATAAGAACAATCAGCAGACGCAGAAAATAAATGGAAATGGCGTTAAACAGCTGTAACTGCCCAATAACATGTAGCCAGCCACAGCAATTCTGTGACAACGCGTACAGATAATAAAGACTTTTCATAACACGTTCAGATAGCTAAACGATCATCAATATTGTTAGATGTAATAAAGAAATTTGATACTTATAATGAGAAGAAAAACAAATGAAGTGGTACAGGAACAATACGGTATGAAGATATCAAGATTGAATAAATATGAAACCAATGCACACTGACGACTCTGAGTAAAAGCACTTAATTACATGACAGGTTTTAGTAAGTGATGAGAAATGACTGTTTGATAATGAGATAAATGATAAATCAGTACCTTTAGAGAAAATGAGTTACTATAGAAGATGGAGGTTGAAGACGGACTCATAAGTGAAAGGACTCCGAAAAAATCTGGAGTACAGGCTCGAAGGGCTCACCATGGTGATTGTGAGATGCTGGACTGGCTCACGAAGCCCATAACGAGGTGAGGGAAGCGCTTGGCTGCAGCACGGCACATCTCCTGATACTCTGCGCTGCGCAGGGCTCCGTCCGAACTCATCTCCGCCACCAGTATCACACCTAAGCATTGAAGTCACCATATAATGTAGTCCTTAATGTTACAAATAACGTCTATGATATGATAGAGGGAATTAGTAACTCAAAACATTAGCATGCATAAGATCATGAAACTTCGGTACAATTGAAAATCTCATCAAACTTACTTAACTCTCATAAGTTTATCATTATATAAAAAATTAATTCAGAAAATCAGAATTCAAGCAATTTTAGAAGGATTCTCCTAGATTGCACGTTAAAGGGTTTGGTTTCGAGATTATTTGTCAAAGTCTATTGTAGAAATAATACCTATGCGTAATTAATTAATTTTAAAAGACAACACTTCTAAAGAATACAGTGTCTCTGATGCTACACATCAACAATGAATTTCTAATTTTCTTTTCATATATTAAAAAAATTAATTTTTTATTTTTTAATATATGATAAAAAAAATTAATTTCTCAAAATTATTTACTGTGTCAATTGATTCATACATTGTCACCGACTTTACGCAAGTGTGCAAATTTCAGATCGATTGGACAGGTAGAAGTTTGTTAAATATCGACTATAAAATTTGTAGCAGACAGGCAAACAAACAAGAAGTGAAGTTAAAGAGAAGTGTTGGAAAAAAAAATTTTTTCATAATAATTGAAAATATTATGAAATTGCCACCGACACTGGCTAGTGAAGCAAGTTTGCCCTCTCTCGCCCCCCAAAAAATAACCATGGTAGTAATTGTAGTATGCAAACCTTTCTTGGAGTTATCGAGTGCAGCCTGAGCGATGGCAGTGAGGAGGCCATCTCCTGCAATAGGCACCACCGTAACTATGTCGGCCCACGCACCGCGCCGCTCCCACTGCCGAGCCACCGTCGCTCCGATGTCCACAAACTTACTGTGCACAATACCACTTATGAGTTGCTTTAAACTTTGATCTATTGGCAGGTACCATATTTCTGATCAACTTATATACGGAGGGCATTGGCGACGGCAAATGTACGTATATGAAGAAGAAACCTTTTTATGCAAGACTGTTACCGCATGCCAGAACACATGTGCACTTCTTCGTACTGTTTTGGGCTCTAATTTCTTGCATAAATCTATTAAACACGAACGCACAGAATAGTTTGGTGTAACAACTATTTAGTCATCAGTTAATAATTAAATCAAAGGCCTTAGATTCCATGCACACTCTGGTACATGTACTTTTCGGTACTATTAATTCACCAGCAGATAGAAATGATCAATTTCAAACAAACTATAAACGATAAGAATAAACTTTTGTAGGTATCCTAAGTTCAGGAGGATTTTCAGGCTCTTGCTACGAAAAATAAAATTATACGAATTGATGGCAAGGCATTGTTAGCCTACAAGACTAGCAAGAGGAGGAAAAGAAGCCACGTTATTTAGTTTCACAAAATGTCAACTCAATCCTTTTGAAATGATGCAGCACAAGCTGGTGCGCGCAGGCAGCTATTACAAGTCAAACAAAAAAATTCAGCAAATTAAACACAGTAAATTTGTGCTTGAATTGCACAAAACATACACTGTTGAAGGGAATTAGTTTACCTGTCTTCGAAGAGCAGGAAGTTGTGTTGCTGAGCCACACTGCGGAGCTGCTGTGCAACTGAATCAGAAAAGTCAGGCAGTGTGTCTACGTGTGTCTTCAAAAGACATATGTGCGGCCCCACCTGACAAATACCATAGATATTAATTAAAATTACACTTCACAAACTCATACCAATTGATGCAATTCGACGGATGGCTTTACATTTTCGTCTATAATCCGAGACTTTATCCACTTGAATGATTGTCATTCTATAATAAAGAATCTTGTAAGTTATTATGTGAGAAATGTTTTTGAGGGAACATGTAGAGCACCACCATAAAGGGATCCGAGTAATCACCTGCTGAGCAAGCGTCAGGAGTTCAGTGCAGCTGCTGACGTCAGCTGAGACGCACAAGTTGCTGCGCTTGCTCGTCACGATGCCCAGCAGTGAGCGCACCAATGGATGAACAGCAGCATCCGCTCGGAGTTCGAAAGTTTTAATCAGTCGTTCATTGGCTGGATTCAAAACAACAAATCATAAATTCAACAAGAAAATACTTTACTGCCGAGGACTCGACTGGCTTAGCTCATCTCTGCAGCAAGGAATGGAGGTAGAACATTCTTCAGAAACATTATTATCGACTCTCTGACAGCTCAATCTGAGATATGGACAAATATGTGGTATATTTCCGCTACAACTTTATTGCAACCCAAGAAATTTTTACACCTAAAATTAGTTCATTCCTGCTAACGCTGATAATAGTGTCCCAGAAGCAGCACTTCAAACTCAAACAAAAACAGCAGTCAATTGTTTGTTTTAGAAAGCATACATAGATGTTTGTGTAGTTTGTGCACCTATTCACAATACATGACGTTTTGAAATCATTGATTACCGAGATAAAATTGTGAAATTACACGGCATCGGAATTTTTTTATTGAAAACTTAAAATCAAATTGAATGAAAAATCCACAAAACTATCCTGCATGAAAAATTAAAATTCCTATAATTGCCGAAAAAGGAGTTTAATAATTACTTGGAAGGATCAAAATTATTTTTGTTCAAACTTTATAACAGAAGATTTTAGATTTGACAGAATGTTTTAGATAGTGGAGGATTCTCTACAACGAACAACCTCGTGTCAACCAGTATAATTTGTTTATTCCATCTTGTATTCGAGTTGGGTGCACCATACTAACAAACTGCAAATATTAGATTATGCATGCACTCAAATAACGGGAAGACTTACCCGGGACTGAAACAGCCTCCTCGCATTTTGTTCTTATTTTTGTTACATTATTTTTTCTGATAAACTGCTGCACTTCAGCAATCATGGTATCCTGGATTCGGCCGTGTCGTTTCAGCACCTCCAGCATCTGCGCATCATTTACAGTTCACATGGTTTGTGAGGAAGCTTTTCACATTGAAAGATCACAGCCAATCAAATTGTAAACTTGGACATGATCAGGTTATCTTCCTTATAATGGGCAAACGAGCAACAGCAACCATAAATCAGTCTCTGATAATTGGAGTGATAACCAGAGAAAAGTTGCAATTCATTTGTATTTCAAGTAAATACCCAATCGTTCATTACAAAAATCATAGTCATGATCAAATGATCAGTAGGAGCTGAAGATGCACCTGGTCAAGGGTAACCACGGGCGTGATATTGACACCAAGGGTATGAAGATTGCAAGCACCGCCCTGTTGTCTGTCTAGAAAAACCACAGCGTCGCTTGCGTTCAGCTGCAGGTTGCGTAAAGTCTGCACAAATAATGTCCAATAACAACGGAATATTCAAGAACAACAGCATACACAGGAGCTATAAATGTGCTACAACGTCTTTCAGCAAGTTATGTCACACAAGTTGATCCACATTGAGTTCAAGAGAGGTATAAAATATGAGCCCTCAATTCGTGGTGGTAGCAAAACCTGCACTGATTGATAAGTAGGATCAAATAATAATACATGGAACATATTCAATTTAAAAAGTACTTAGAACTTGGGATTCTAGAATTATGGTTTCCGGTTACAGAAAGGCATATTGAACAATCACAGATCTCTCTGAACAAAAATGATCACAAGTCTGTGCTGTGTTGCTAACTTGAAGATGGACATCACCTCGACAGTCTCGTATACAGAAGTGCCTGACACGAGCACATCCTCCACGATCAGGCACGACTGTCCTGCACGGTACACGCCCTCCACCAGCTGCTTTGTTCCGTAGTTTTTGCTCTCCTTGCGCCGGACCAGCATTGGCATATCCTGACCAAACACCAGCTCATTATGTTCTAAATGCAAATGTAGAAACGCAAGACCATCATCATTCCTTTATACCAAATATAAAAACATAATAAAAAATAATATTTTTTGAATATTGAAGGCCATATTGAAGGTCAAGATTGCCATATTGAAGGTCAAGCATGCTTGCTCAATACCGTCTCTGGCTTTACTATCAGGCCGGCATCTAGTGGAACATAACAACAAACCTAATTGTAACAAATCACACAAGACAAGGTCCAAAATAGTACAAAGAACAATATTTTTTCAAGATATTTATTAAAATGGTGTTTTACAGTATTGCCTTGATGATTTGGAGTGCTTTGACGTTTAACAGGGGTGATTTGGACCATTTTGACTTTCAAGAAAAGAAAACCCTACACTCAAACAGTTCTTACCTTAGAAAAATTGTTGATGGCACTTGAAGTACCATGAGATAACCTACAAATGCAATAAAGAGATACATTTTATATATTATCTTTGTGACTATTTGTATCACAAAAAGGTAAGTGCTAAAAATGGTCCAAGTCACTGTCAATGGTCCAAGTCACCATGTTTTACAGTACACTTGTTTTTTCTTCTTAAGAGATTGAATTTGGGTAATTTTTAGTAAATTTCTTCTTCTAAAATTAGTTCCATTGAGACAAAATAGTGCAGAGTTTAGAAAGAGCTTTATTCAAGCCCTAAGTAGTTTCAATGTCAGCCCAACTAAGGGAAATGCTGCTGCTTACTTGCATGAAGACACTGACTGACCTGCAGCTGTGAGATTACAGTGGCAAGGGGGATGCCAGTGTATGCCACACCACAGATGTGGTCATAAGCCTTCCGTGGAGCAACACACCATAGCAGTTCTGACACCACTTTCTGAAATTAAAAATGGGGATAATTAATTGAGCAAACTGTGTGGTAATATGCATTCAAACTAATCAGAACAAATTACTTAAACATTTAAAATAATATAAAGAAAAGAAATCAACTTGCAATATGAAAAAAGCAGATTCTGATGAATTCAACTTAAAATCAGACAACATAGCAAATGCTACCAGATCTCTTTTGTAATAATTTTCTCACTGGAAATCTTTCTTATTCAGGATGTGAAAAATAAAATCGAACCTAATGATGAATACCATAAAATTACAAGTACCATTTATATATGTATATAACTAGAGGCAAAGAGAAGTTCAAAAGTTCAAGAAACGTTCCCACATCTTAGTTTTGAGACAGTTATATTCTCACATTTAAAAATATATGCATGCATAATGAATATAATTAATATACTGCTTCTAAATTTCTGTGAAAGAACAACAAAAAAATTCAAATGAAGATGTGCGATTGCTTGAACTGAATCCTTCCTATTGATTTGAAAGTATCTCATAATCTCTGCAACATATTAAAAACAATTTCAATAATTCATGAAATTACAGATTGAAGTAATGGGTTCATCTTTATTAAAAACAATAAAAATAACTCCTAACATATAATGAAGTTTCTGGAGAATGTTTCAGCAGAGAAAGACTACAACAGAACATTTTAATAAAGTTAAAGTTTCTCCTATAAGCCTACCTCATTACAATTTACATACAATGAATAAACCCTAACTTGATAAAATTATCTACAGATTTGCATACTCACCAAGAGTTTGGGATACGAGGTAACAATCCTCATATCAAAATAAACAGGCGACTGCATGCCACTTTTGAGCGTAAAATCTCCAAACTTTAACACACCTATTTCATGCATCTGGAGAATGCATTCTTCCAACTTGTCTTTCTCCATTATTGTAGGAAGGATGAAATTAATTGTCTATATAAAATAAACTGATAAAGAACCTGAATAAAACAAATCAGAAAATCATTGACATGTATAAAAATTTACAAGTACAAAGAGGTTGCATAAGAATAAGTGAAACCCAACATTTTGACATCAAAAGTTTTGAACACCTTATAACAATGAAAATGTGTCGTTTTTGTGTATTATTGTTTATTCTTGCAGCTGATTACTTAAGAGCTAGGAATTTAGGAAAAGCTTTCAATAATTAGCAGCAAGACCCTTGGATCTGAAAGCTTGGAAGAGCCAGGAACTTTCCATTTCCAGTCCATTATATGTATATACATATCGAGTGATGATATCCCTTTCCAGCTGTGATTGGTTGATGGGATTGTGATGTCATCCTTTTCAGCTGTGATTGTTTGTGCTCAACTGGTGTACTGGTTAACTTAATACTTAAACTAACTTAACTTAATCATCACAAACATACCTATGGCCTGGAATTTTTCAATAAATCTATTATATAAAAGAATAAAAAACATTAATCAAAGAAGAGACAACTAACAAATCTGAGGTACTGCACAATTGAAACTGTTTGTCCACTTTTGATCCTCCTTTTCATTTATAGTCAGTCACCTGGCAGAGCACTGTAACAAAGGAAAGCTTTCCAGCTTGGGTGGACAGCTTTCTTATAAGTGAAGTTCCATTCCTAGACTTCCACACTGATTGAAAGGCCACAGCTGTTAAAATTACTGCAGATGTCAATGGACACTTGCAGAACCCAGTTTCTGTAAAGACTCCACCAAGAGCTGTACACATCTGGATTCCATGAAAGAGCTGCAATTAGAAAACCTCTGGTTCATATTCATAATAATACGGTGGATACTCCATTATTGAAGAAAAACCCCACAAACAGTTGCGCGCACACACATGAGGGCATTGGAGAGCTAGTGGTTTCAAATACAAATGCTCCATAGTGCTTAGAGTGGTGTCAATCACTCCAGAATTGATCCCTTGAGCAGTGAAAATAGGATTTTTTGACAAATCATTGTTCAACTCATTTCCAATATCTGGCCAAGTTTATGTTAGGAGACAGCAATACAGATACAGTCATTTAAATCAAGCATATATGGTTGATTTTAAAGATGCAAGCCAAAAGTCAATTCCTGCCACCTTTAAAAGAGCTGGGAGTTTTAATTGAATGGGTTAAAATTCCTTTGAAAATGATTCACAATTTTTATGCATCAATACTTTGGAGAATTGAGACTAATTGAGGCAAAAAGTGGACTTACACCATACTAAATTCTAAAATATATTTTGTATTGTAGAATTCTCTGACATTTCCCTTATTTAGTCTTACCCCAGTAGCCACTCACTAGCAAGTATTTATTACAGTGTGGAATTCAAAAGGGATATTAAATTAATCAGTACAAATAGCTCTTTGAAAGGCAGGACCTGAAAGCTTGGAAAGGCCAGGAACTTTCCACTTTTAGTCTGTTATATACATATCCTATCCCTTTCCAGCTGTGATTGGTTGATGGGGATCATTTCTAGCTGTGATTGGTTGATGGGGATCATTTCGAGCTGTGATTGGTTGATGGGGATCCTTTCCAGCTGTGATTGGTTGTGCCCATAAGGCCCACCCCCAAATATGCTACATGTACTAGTAGTACACGTTTACATACAGAGCCAATGATCCAATCCACTTAGTTATTCAATGCCTTATTCCACTGCTACATAACAAGATAACCTGAGCTTAGTGAGCTATGATGGCCCATGCCCATGGTGGTGACAAACTTTTGTGCTCAACTCATGTTGTCTCCAGATGTGTTCATAAATTTATAATTCATGTCCACATTTTTTTCATTTACTACACCAAGACCAGGATGGCTCCTGTAAGTCCTGTTAAATATTATCAAAGTTTGTTTGGTCTCAATCGACTGAATGTTCTACTATCGATTTTATTAAGGTTTCATTTTACAGGTTCACAATTCACAATGGGTTCATCATCTTCTGAATGCTTTCACCAGTCAGCAATCAGCAAAAGTCACAACTAGAATCTGTAGGAGCACATGCCGAAGGGCAGCTTTGCCATACTTCTCTTAGTTCATATTCCTTTCCATAGGAAAGAATGCTAGAGTGCATAACGGTCTATGAAGTCAAGTGCTCAAAGGTCAAAGCCATAGTACCGATGTCCACAGCTACAAAATACGCTTACCAAAGGTAAACATGGCCATGCTGAATCTGGTCTAACCTATATAAGATGCCACCTTTCTGCACCCAAAAGAAACCTGAACGAACCTAACCTCATTGGCTGCAAGAAGTTGGAAAGGCAGTCCAACTTCCAAGTGTGCTGGTACTTGGTACTGGTAGAGCCAGTCATTGGCTGCAAGAAAGTAGTGAGCCAGGACAGCGTGAATAGGTTAGGCCGGAAGAGGTTAGGACTTAGGCCGGACTCTGGCCGCCGGAGTAGGCACAGCCGGGGCCCGGATGGGGAACTGCCTGCTTATGAGCAAGCATGCTTAAGCAGAGGCTCTGGCTGAAGACCTATGGTGCTACATCTTGCGGCAGTGTGTTGCTTGTCTGAATCTGGATTACGGAGTTCAAGCGTAGTCTGCGGCTTCTAGTTCTGAGGCTGAGTAAAGTTAATGCATAGTGAACTTTGAAGCTAGGCATTGAACTTAGCTCCAGGTCCAGGGCTTATTTAAGAGTAAAATTTGTGGCCTACAGCTGTGCCCCCGTTCGTTTGTTTTTCAGTTTTTTTGAGGATGTGGAGTCGTCCTCCATGCACCTCACGGCCTAACAGGGCTCCCTCAGCAGGCAAGCCAGAACCTGAAAACATGAAGTACCTTAGACGTCACCGAGGTGGTATGCAGGGGGTTATGGGTCTATTGGTTAGTATATTAGTTAGTAGCCCTCACCTAGGAATAGGCTTGTCATTTGGACACACGGGTTTGAGGGCCAGATGGTCCAGCCTGGAGCATCTATTGTGTTGTTCAGGGATCAAGATTTGTATGCATACCATGGACCCTGCTACTTCCACTCTACAACTACTGGGTCCAGGCATGGGGGCAAGTTGATGCATCCATGGTCCAAAGACTTGTCAGAAGGACATAAAGATATGCTTCCAGCACCCCTTCCTCACAGGTAATACTTACATTTCCTATGTGCATCGGCAGGAGAGGTCTGCGAGACTATTGCCAGTAGGCTCCAATGATATTACTACTTTTGAAGCTAGGTTAATTGTTAGATCTATGATCATTCTCTAGAATTCTTTCAATTTTCCAGTTGATGCAAGATAGAGTGAAACATATTGCATAATTTTGCATTGAATCTTTGGGGGATATTCTCCTCCACCAAGTATACATTTCATGGTCACTGGGACTCCAATTGAATGCAACTGAGACTGCAAAATTTTACAACTATTTGCAAATAATGGACACTGGAGAAAAAATGTTGAATTGATTCTACTCTCCCACAATGACAAAGATTTGAGTTAGCTCACTTAAACCTATACATGTGCTCCCTCAGGCCTACATGACCCAATCTGAATTTTGCAAATGCAGTGTCCATAATTCTCTCCTTAATGGATGACCAAGGCCAATATCCCACTTTATCCCTAATTTTCCTAAGGTGTTGGCCTGTGTTAGTAGTTGCTACCTTCTGCTTCCAATCTCCTTCCCACGCCTTCCAGCAGTCACCTTGTCCTCGCTGCACATCACAGCCTCAGCTGATACCTCAGGTAATGCGTGGGCTGCTTTGGCTGCCAGGTCAGCCATCTCGTTTCCCTTGATGTTTTTGTGGCCCGGGATGAACTGGATCACCACTGGAAAACAAGCTCAAAGAACAAGCATTATTTGGTGAATTTTAAACACTAATGGTAAATGTGAGTTGGTTTGCAGGATGTTAACAAGCTCAAACTTGATAAAGAGTCAGTGTATATAACAGCTCCTCTGCCATTTTAAGTGCCATCCCTTATCATTAGGACTGCCTGAGCGATAGCAAACAGCTCACAGCTTAGAATTGTTTCCTGTGGGTATAATTTCCAATTAAACATATGAAATGTATTAGCCTCCCAAACCACTATTGATGCTGCTGCAGAAGGTTCAGGCTCAAGAATCTTTGAGCCATCAGTATATACTTAATGAAAACCATTATATACGTTCTGTATCTTGTAGGTCTCTAAAAATGTTGAGAGCAGCTGACTCTGACATCTCTCCAACCGGCTGCCCTGCAAAGAAAGGTGAGTAGTGCATGGAGCAGTCGACCCACGGTAGAATTTGTGAGAGTAGATCTGCAGCACATCCCACAAAAGTCATATTTAAGTCATCCACAGTCTTTTTTGCTCACAGTGCAAAATGGAGAGCAAAAATTATTCCTGCCCATGGACGGTCAGCAAAACCTGTCACATCAGATAGGCTGCAATAGACTAGCAAGTGTCAGGGTAGCTCCCCAGCCAGCAGAAATAGGTACCGCAACCAGACCAGGTGGCGGTGAAATTTCAATGGGGGAACATTGCTCTCAATCTCTAGCGAAGATATTGGTGATGTTTTTCTTGCCCCAATGGCCAATCTGAGGCACCTATTTTGGATTTTGTTTAGTCTTTCCAGATGGCTGCTTGCTGCCATCTCATAGAACATGGAACCATAGTCTATTTTGCTTCTTATTACTGCCTTGTAAAATTTGAGCAATGTTTCTCTGTCTGCTCCCCAGTGATGGGCTGATATGGACTGCATCACATTGACCCTCCTGAGGCAGCTCACACTTAAAATGTTTATTTGGTCCCTCCATCCCAAGGCTGGAGAGTCTAGAGTGAGGCCAAGATACTTGTGTGTTCTGGCATATACTATGTTGAAATTATTGATACTAACCTGAGGGTTATTAACATTTTTTTGAGTAAACATTAGACCTTTTGTTTTTTCTAGATTTAGTTGGAACCCCCAAGTTTGAGTCCATCTAAAGAGTTGGTCTACCTGGGACTGGATGCAGGCCTGCACCACCCTAAGGTCAGGAGCCCTACTGAAAATGGCAATGTCATCGGCATACTCAGCAAGTGCCACTC